GGAAATCTTCACTATTTAAAAAACATATCATTGTTTCATAGTATAGCAAACTCTAGAAGAGTATCTTATAGAAATTACCTTAAATGTGGAAATTTTACACACTTCATTCTCAAGTAAAATTTGTGCATCTCAATCAGATTATGTTTTCTTTTTTGAAGAACTGACTTTTTAAGTATTTTTAAGTAAGTTTTATATATAGATAGATAGATAGATTTATTATTGATTTTAGAGAGGAAAGGATAAGGATAGAAAGATAGAAACATCAGGCTGCATCCTGTACACCCCCAACTGAGGATTGAGCCCATAACTGGGGCATGTGCCCTGACCAGGAATAGAACCAGCAATCTCCTGGTTCATGAGTTGACACTCAACCACGGAGCCACACCTGCCAAGCAGATTGTTTTCCTTTATAAAAGCGTTCATGGAATTTCATTAGCCATAGTACCTCTTTCATTGCATTTTTTTTTTTTACCTTTTTGGATAATATTACATAATGGCCTTACAGCAAGGGGTTATTAATAAGATATTGTTCCAGAAATGTATAGTAATAAATCAAGTACTACTTGTTTAGACAACTCATATTTTTTTCAAGTAAATGCTTTTTGGGACCTGAAAACTATCTTTCATTTTTTATTTTTCTAACAATTTGGTGATAAAAACATAAAAAATAAATATAATCTATGTCTAAATCCCAGAAAAACTTGTTGGCTGGAATACAGGCTATCCAATTCCTTATGCACGTAGGGAGTGCTCAATAAATGTCACTGTCTGAGTGATAGAATTACTTCTTAAGATTTTCTTCTCTTAACCCAAGCAGTTGCTTAATTTGTACTGAAAATCTGGTTTTCTTTTCTCTATCCCAGCATATTTTGGTTAATATACCATTACTATTTTAAATTAATATACCATTACTATTTTAATGCATTTATTTTTAAAAACAGTTTTTCTTAAATATCTGCAGATCACATTCCAGGATCTTGTGCCTATGAAGCAATTTACCACCTGGTACTACTATCCTATACAATAAAAAGGTAATATGCAAATTGACCCTAATGGCAGCATGACCAGAACGACCAGTCAACCAGTCATTATGAGGCCCACTGAGCACCTCTTGGTCCCTTTCCCAGCAGGCAGGCTCCCATCACCAATGGTGAATGGGGGACCAGTGGTGGATGGTGGGGGACAGAGGTGGCACCAGGCCAAGGTCCCAGAGCCACTGGTAGCCCCACACACAAAGGGTGACCCGAGGGCAGGGCCAATGAGTGGGCTGGAACAACCAACCTCTCGGCTCCTATCAATCGATAGTCTGATGGCAAACAGGGGAGAGGGAGGCCAGAGTGGGGCCGGCTATCGGCAACTGGGGAAGATGGCCCTGATTGTAGGCCAAGCCTAGGAACCATACTCCTGCACGAATTTCGTTCACCGGGTCTTTAGTGGTAGGATAATAATCTAGTAGAAATTGGGAGTATGATATTCTCAACTAATGAAAAGATCTTGCTGCAATAGTTTTTTTCCCCCAGCAATAAAAAGTCCTTATTTTCTAAGTACTTCCTCCACCCCACCCCCACCCATTTTGTTCTTCCTAAATATACTGCCCATATATTGCTTCAAATTAAGTCTTTGAGGGAAATACCAGTTATAAGACAGTCAAATTGGGGACTCTGGAGCAGTAATCGAAGTTTTTACCTACAATTTCTGGGTGCAAGCATGGAGCTAGAATTGCTTTAAGACCCCTGGTTTTGAGGTTTGGGACTCCAGGGACCTTCCCATTTCCAAGGAGTTAGGCTACTATGATTATTTGCTATCAATTCTCCACACATAGAACATAAATCTCCACACACAGAGCACCTGGACATAAATCGTGCTTTCTATAATTTTAATTATTTATGTGAAGGCTTTTAATCTTTTGTGAATCAAACATGAATCACATAGCTTTTTGTAGTTTGATAGTTAAACAATTTTTTGTCCTCTGTAAAATGATTTCAAAGCTATTTACAACAATCAAAATTCTTGCCATTCTTCATAAGAATTTTATGCAATAAATACTCCCACATTTTCAAAGAGCAAATGTATTAAAGAAACTAGGACCTTTAAAACCCTTGGAAAATTTACCTTTAAGAGAACTATTTTATTGGTTTAAACACAGACAAATCTTTGAACATATAAATAAGACATTTAACTTTATAAATCTTATTTTTTGCTAAGATGTTTTTTGACATTTCTAACCCCATCTTACCAGAAATATAGCTCACTAATGATCTCTTCTAAATTATCTTTCTCATCACTTTAATTTCATAATACATCCTTTACATGTTAATCAAGAAGAAATGGTCTTTCATATTAAGATTTTTCCTTAAACTGTAATTTAGAAGTACCATAACAAGAAATCAAGAAGTTTATGTAAAAAGAGGGTAATGGGACAAGTAGACAAATGATACTTATTTTTCCAAAAGCTGAATGCATTTATCACCACTTTTAACAATCTGGTAAATCAATACAAAATTACATTAAGCTTTTATAAATTCACATTTTATTTAACCAGTTGATCTAACTTACTGATGAAAAGTATCTTTAACAATTACTGAAATTACAGATTTAAAAGTGAAACATTCCATTAGCTATCTGCCACAAAAGCAGCATAATGTTACTTTGTTCCTTTTTTTCTCCCATCCCCTTAAGAAACAGGAATATTATGCATTCTTATTTCATATCCTGATCTGAGGATGGTTTCTACTAAGATATCAGACATCTCTGTATTATTTACACTAAGGACCTAAAAAATTCTCTATAAATTTTAATTATCAAAACATCCTTTGGGTTAAAAAGTCCTTCTATTCTTCAAAGATTAAATAACTGAGTATTAGGACTAACTGATTTATGTAAGTGATCATATGACTGTTAAAGCTGTAAAAGAAATGACATTTTGATTTGTATCAAGATGTCTTAAACTTTACCTAAAAGATGCATTAGAATGTCAAAGTTCAAGAGTCTTCTTTTTTATTTTTAAATGGCTTTACCATTTTCATTTCCCAGAAAGTATCTAAAAGATAATAAATTTGCCAGTACTTTCATAGTTGCTCTCTGTACTGGGATAGGAAAGGGTGCTTGCTGAATTGTTCTGGTTTTCATGACCCAATCCAAACCATATAATACTCTGGCTTCAACTAAGAATTTTAAAACAAACAAAAGAAAGAACTGTAACTATTTAACGCAGTAGGTTCTACATTTATGGAGCCCATAAGCTGATTTCCTAGGGAAAGTGAAAACAGTCTCAAGACTTTAAATGAAGTCTTGGATGCTGGAATCACAGCAAATACAGGAAAATTAGAAATATGTTGGTAACCTCTAGTCTTTTTTTAAACTGACCTCACCCTGGGCAAGTAACCATCTCCTGATGCCATTGTTGGAGACAATTTCTGGCTGAAAGATCATTTCTGACTCAATCTGGCTTGCTATTCTTGGTTAATCATCCCCATTTCTCTCACCATTTCACTCCTCAGACTATTACATTTCCTTTCAAGAAAGACTTTTTAAGTGAGTTGGTACTTCCAGCCATCTCCCTCTTTATCCTAGCTAAATCCCCCCAGGCCTCATTCCTATCGCCCTCGTTTCACTAAGATTTCGCTAAACATTTTTAGACAGAGCACATGACCTCTATCCAGTCTTTCAATGTCTCGGAACAGACATAAAAACACTTGTTTGGTGCGCTTGCAGCTTCTTATTCTAAGAATTTAAGAGCCATTAGCTCTTCTATTCTACTCTTAAAGACCTGCAAGGCAAAATTTAAATTTAAAAAATTTTAAATAAAAAACCGCTCCCTTTTTTTTTAACCTTTAGCCACGCCCACTGCCTCCCTCAAGCCTCCACGCGAAACTGCAGGAAACCGGAGGGGGCGGGGCGCTACGTCATGACGCCCTGCGTCAAGGAACGCCGGCGGCAGCGGCGCTGGCGGTGGCTGCGGCAGCGGCGGCATTTTAGTCGAGCGCGGCGGCGGCAGCGGTGCTGCTGCTCCTCCCAGCATCCCTGGCGCGGCCATTTCAGCCCCATCTTGGCCGAGGGGAGGGAGCTGCAGCCGCCGCTTCAGCAGTGTGAATTTCAGTTTTTCCAGGGCTTTTGAACCGGGCGCACCGAGGAGCAGTCGAAGAAGCTACCGCCGCTGCCTCACGCCGGCCGCCGCCCCTCACTCAAGAGCTGTGAGGGGAGGCCGGGACTGCCGCCGCCGCCGCCGCCGCCGCCGCCGCCGCCCGCGGGGGTGGCTCCCCCTGTGAGGTGGGGGCCGAGCCGGCTCTCCCCTCCCTCCCCCGGAGAGGGTTTCCGCCCGAGACGCTCGACATGTCCCCGGGGCTGAGCTCCGGCTAGTGCCGGGGAGGGAGGGCCTCCCGCCCGCGCCGAAGCCCTGCCGCCCGCCCGCCGCCGACCTCCAGCCAGCCCAGCCCGCGGCTCTGGGCTGAATCCGAAACCCCGGCTCCGGACCCGCCGCTCTTCGCCGTCTCTCAGCGCCGAGCCCCGAGCTGCCGCCGGCACCGGCCGGAGAAGCCCGAGCGGGCAGCACCGCCCCTCACGCCGCCGCCGCCTCCGCCCTCCGCCCTCCGCCCTCCCACTCCCGCCCCCGGCCGAGGCCTGCGGACCGCGCGGCGCTGGACTGACCACGGCGGCCCGGAGACGCGAGGAGGAAGCCGCCGGCCCGCCCCTGGGATCGCACTCTCGCCGCCGCGGAGGGGATTGAATTGAGGCGCCGCGGCTGCGGGAGGCGAAAAAGGAGGAGGAGCAGCTGCCGCGCCTGTGAGACGGGGCGCCGAGCCGGAGACTGACACGGAGAAGTGAAGGGAGAGGAGGATGTCTCCCGGAGCGGGCGCCCGGATCAGCCCGTGACTGCCGGCGGCGGGCCTCACACCAGCGGGGACTCAGACTTTGTCTTTGGGGGCCGCGCTCTGCCCTTCCTGGTTTCCAGCAAGTTCGCAGAGGAGCCGCAGTGCCCCTCTGCCCCAGCCCTCCTCACCATGTCCAAGATGCCGGCCAAGAAGAAGAGCTGCTTCCAGATCACCAGTGTCACCACGGCCCAGGTGGCCACCAGCATCACCGAGGACACCGAGAGCCTGGACGACCCGGACGAGTCACGCACCGAGGACGTCTCCTCTGAGATATTTGACGTGTCTCGGGCCACGGATTATGGCCCCGAGGAGGTCTGCGAGCGTAGCTCCTCTGAAGAGACTCTCAACAACGTTGGGGATGCGGAGACTCCCGGCACGGTCTCCCCAAACCTCCTCCTGGACGGGCAGCTAGCGGCCGCGGCTACTGCTCCCGCCAACGGAGGAGGAGCCGTTTCTGCCCGGAGCGTGATTGGGGCGCTGGCCAATACTGGGGCGACAGCTGCCACCGCAGCCCCCTCTTCGGGGGCACCCGGCGCCCCCCCGGCCGCGGGCTCATCCGCGGGGCCAGCTCCGTCGCAGCCCACCACCACTTGTAGTTCCCGGTTTCGCGTGATCAAGCTAGACCACGGGAGCGGGGAGCCCTATAGGCGCGGCCGATGGACGTGTATGGAATACTATGAGCGGGATTCGGACAGCAGCGTCCTGACCAGGTCCGGTGATTGCATTCGGCACAGCAATACTTTTGACCAGACTGCGGATCGAGACAGCGGCCTGGGCGCCACCGGAGGGTCGGTGGTGGTGGTGGTGGCCTCGGTGCAGGGGGCACACGGGCCCGACTCGGGAACTGACAATTCCCTGACTGCTGTGTCACAGCTACCCCCGTCGGAGAAAATGAGCCTGCCCGCCCCGGCCCCGCCGCTGAGTTTTGGCGTCGGGCAGCTCCAGCCGCCGCCTCCGCCCGTAGGTGGGGCTGTGGCTCCAAGCTTGGCTTCGAGGCCATCGTTCCCGGGGGCCGCAACCGGACCGCAGCAAGTGATGGCGGCTCCGCAGCCCAGCCAGCCCCAGGGAACCGGGCCGGGCGTCATCCCTCCGGGGCCCAATGGACAGGGTCTTCCGCCAACGAATGTAACCCTGGCGCAACCCGGCGTGTCTCTGTCTCCGCAGCCTGGCCCGGCCGCCAGCGCTGCTGCGACGCCGCAGCCTCAGCAGTTCGCGTATCCCCAGCCTCAGATTCCGCCGGGGCATTTGCTGCCCGTCCAGCCCTCCGGCCCTAGTGAGTACCTGCAACAGCACGTGGCCGGCCTGCAGCCGTCGTGCCCCGCTCAGCCCTCTGCCGCCGGCGCTGGAACGAGCCTCGCCGCAGCGGCCAGCCTTCCGGTGGGCACTGGCCAGAATGCCCCCTCGGGGACCGCGCCGATCATGGGCCCCTCTTCCCTGCCAAATGAAGCTGTGGCTCCGGGGCCGGGAAACGCGCCAGGCGGACGGGCCGCGCCTAGTCAGCCGGCTGGAGTTCCCCCCGCTCCTGTGGGAGGCACGGTGCAACCGGGCCTGGTTCCTACCGGGGCCGGGCAGCCCCAGTCCGCGCCTTCGCCGCAGGTGGGAGGCAGCGGTGGGCCGACAGCCGCGTCCTGTGGCCCTCACACCACGGTGCCCGGAGTTCCAAACGTGCCTGCCGCCGTGCCCGCTCCAAGCGTGCCCAGTGTATCTACCACATCTGTTACTATGCCACATGCACCCACGGCGCTGGTCCAGTCGCAGCAGTTGAGCAGCCATACGCCAGTCAGCAGGAGCGGCAGCATATTCCAGCAAGTCGGGCTGCCTTTAGCGCAAGGCACACCCAGTGCACCAACAAGTCTACCACAGTCTGACCTAAGCCAGTTTCAGACTCATACCCAGCCTTTAGCCGGACAAGCTGACGATACTAGAAGAAAATCAGAACCCCTACCTCAACCACCACTTTCTCTCATTGCTGAAAATAAGCCTGTTGTGAAGCCTCCTGTTCCAGATGCCCTGGCAAATCCCCTTCAGTTAACACCTATGAACAGTCTGGCCACCTCTGTATTCAGCATAGCTATTCCTGTTGATGGTGATGAAGACAGGTATGAAAATCTTATATAAAATATTTTATAGGAATGTTTTGTCAATCATTGTAGTTTAGGGTGCAACTTTGGAAGAGTTCTTTTTTCAATTTGAGGCTGTTAGCAGTTTTAAATATAGCAATTACTGTTTAGTAAAGTTGATTTATCAATTCTTAAAAAAATACCTTTAGTTTTAAAGATTGCTCATGTAAAGATGGCTAATAAGAGAATTAGTCTTGTCACACTCAAACATACTAAAATGATATGAATGCAACATTGTTTATTCAAAATGATGGATTTTATCTTATTCCTCTCAATTTAAAGGTGGTAACTAGTAGGTTATGCCCCATAGGATTGTCCCTTTTTTAGATGTCAATCACACTTGAACATTTATGGCAGACTTTTGTCAGTGTGAGTTTTGAGATGAAACAATTAGAAGTTTTCCATTCTGGAATATCAGAAGGCCCTTTAGTACAGAAAGATCTACGTGAGATATATATCTCTGTATCTGGAAAGGCTGGAGAGATAATCTTGAAATGTCAAATCCAGCTTCGAAGATCATATCTTCGTTCAGCCTTTTAATGAAAGAGAATAGAAAGTCAAGAGGCTTCCCAGTGACTTACTTTTTTTTAGATACTATTTTTTTTTAAGTAAAAGTGTATCTGAAAATGCTTCCATCATCAGTCTTTGTACTATCGGAAAGGGTGATATGAGCTGTAGTAAAAACCTGTAATTCTTTAAATTAGAGTAATTTTAGAGTAAAGGGATAAATGTCAGCAATTGACTCCCTCTAAGGGAAGCTTCTTTAATTGTTTAAGTGAAAATTGGTGTATTTGCCATATCAATCCTACAACAGTTGATGTTTGGTTATTGCTTAATGAGAATTTTAAATGGTTTTGATGAAATTCAAATGAAAAGGACATAATACACTTAACAAAAATTTTAAAAACAGATTTGTCACAGCTTTAAAGTTATATTTTAAAACTACAGAGAAAGTTCCAGGTACTTCACATGTAGACATTTGTTTGTTGGAAGTTTTGTTTTCAGAAAGGTTAATTTTAGATGTGTTAAAAGATCAAAGCTGTTTTATGGAATAATTGGTATGTAGAATACAATGAGATTTGTTAAAGCTTTTTCTTATGTTTCCTCTGGGTTCCTTCATATTCTTAACTTTTCATTCTGTTTAGCCTTGTATTTTATATACTTCTGTTGGTTGGTGTGAAAATGCTTACTGAAATTCATCTTCTCTGCTTTTTGTAATTCAAAGTTCATCTTTTTTTGTAGGTGACTTGCTTGTGGGGAGTCTTTCTTCTATTTGAGAACTCTTAGAGAATTCCACGTGTCCATAAGTGAGCTCAGCTAGCTAGTCATTGCGAAATTTTATGTGGATGGAACTACAAAGTAAAGAAACTGATTCCACAAGCCACTCAGAGAAATCCCTTTTTTTGCTCCCATATTTTCACACATAGGGGCACACACCTAAAATGCAGATTGTTCAGCTTTGGTAATAGTCAGCAGGTGACTTTCCCCTTTCTAGCTGCCAGAAACTTTTTTTTTTTTTTTCTGGTGGGTTAATAAATAAGCATTTGCTTACCTCCCTGTTCCTGTTTTACACTGCCCCCATATTTCTTCAAGAAATAATGACTGGTTTTCTAACCCACTCCCAAAACACCTGCACACCTGTGAATGAAGAATGTATTTTCTATTCTCTTCACACCTCTCTCAGGTTAGAGCATATGTAATTGCATTCCTCATGACTCTAATATGATGATGATAGGGCATGAAACAGAAGTCTATTGACAAATGGAAACTCTGGGATGTATTTTTAGATACACCTCTGAGCTGCACCTCTAAGATTCATTTATTTCTCCTCTCCTTATTAAAAGAGTTGATAATCCCATCTCATTTCTAAACATGTAAATGTTTGAACTGCAGATACTACTGTATCAGTTGCAACAGTTAATCCAATGTAGGAATTTTGATGTGTGTGCAGTCCTATTTTAAACATGGCACTTCTCTCTCCAACCCAGCCTTTTAAAATCTGTTGCTTATCAAATGTTCATTTCTAATTTTTGTTATTATAGTCTTTCATTGGTTTTCAGTTTAACAAGCTAGTTTCCAAGATGTAATGTTACACATTTGACTATTTTGTCACTGCAACAAACATACCTGGTGAAGGAATAAATCCATTAACTAGAAATAGTTGTGTGTTTTTTAATGGGAAGCCTTTGGAAAAGAGACATTTTAAATTATGTGCTTGAAATTAATAACACAATTTTTTTAGGTGTATGTTTAAATTACTGAGTCAAGTATTTTTGAGGATAAAGTACTACTAGCACAATCATAATTTTAATGTGGTGATTTTGGGTTGCCTTACTAAATTAAAATTTGCATACAGTTTTTAAAAAGTTGATTTGAATTTATTGGGGTGACTGATTAATAAAACTACATAGGTTACATACAATTTTATTTACAGTCATTCAAATGTAAAATAAAATGGAGTGAAAAGTCTTGAGTAATTATGACTTAAATTTTATGAATAGGTTGAAACAAATTTTAGATCTTAAGAAAATATTTGTAAAGTAAGGTGTTTGCTTTAAAAACATGTTGAGAAAAGAAAGAAAAATGCAAGATTAACAAAAATGATTGAGGTGATTTTGATTGATATATTGAAAACTTTATGTTGTCATTTTGGTTCCATTATTAATACAAGGCTCATTTTGAGACTACTATGTAATATTGGCTCATTTTGAGACTATTTTAACGAATCAGAAAAGACCTTATATTATTACATCATGATATTATCATGCCTTTAAAAAGGCTGATGTGTGTTCATACAAAATAAGAAAATATCATAAAGTTCTTGGTTAAAGTTGCCGTTGGGCCATATATTATTTATCACCATAAAGTTAACCTATTATTTTAGCTTTTCTTATTAGGCATATGATCATTTGTTGAGATGCACCAAATTGATTTTGTATAAAGTGGAGTCTATAATGGTGGTTGAAAATATAGAAAAATGTGTAGCCATTTTTACAGTGAACGTTATAAAATTTGAATAAATTACCTATATACTTAACAGGCTCCTTTTTGATAAGTGGGGGAGATACGAAATATTACTGGCCTTCTTTTGAAAACGAATGCAGTACAGATAATTTTCCATAGATAGCTGACCAATGTGAACTCTGTAAGTCACATTCCTGGAACTCTTATGAATGGCTGCAATTGTGAACTGTCAACTGCAACCAAAATACTGTTGAAAACATGATTGTAAGTCCTAAATCAAGGAAGGGTATTAGAAGGGGTCAGGTTCAGACAGAGAACTGCAGAATATATAAACCAGAGACAAAGGGACACAAAACATTTTTTTAGATTGATTTTCCTATTAGAGAGAGAGAGCAGGCTTTTCCCATTTGGGACTCCTCCCCAGGGGTTCCCCTTTGGGGACACCCCTGCCCAGATGGAGTTTGTATATGCTTCCAATTAACTTCTACATATTTATTTAAAAACACAAAACAAAACATGATTGTAAGGATTTCTTAGTGGCAAATATCTATATTTTGTTCATGGTTTTGTGTTATTACTGGTAAGGTATTATAAATTTTTTGTAATACCTTACCAGTAATTTTGTAATTGGTTAGTGATGTGTCCTGGTATGTGCTATAAATAGAAATTTTGTTAGTACAGTTTTAGACATATGTAAATGTATATCAGGAGGCAGAACTATAACTCAATAGATAGAGCTTATTTTTCTTTATATTGAATTGTGGAGGTAATTTTGCCCTTCCAGCTTTATAGTTAATATTTAAATCACACAGTAGATGCCATCTATACTTATCTAAGTACTCTTACCAAGGATTTTGTAATCCTAGTATAAAATCATGTGTATGAGTGACACATTATTTACTAAGAACTGATGTTGATGCACACTCATCAGAGTGCCATGTTGATGACTAAAATTAAGGAAATTATCATTGATTTCCAGAAAGGCTGATGATCACAAAACCAAGAGTTGTATGAGTAGGAATGTGGCCTTTTAAATTCAGTGACACATACATTGTTTAAAAGTTTAGACTAAATCATATAGGCTGAACATTAACTCTTTAGAAAACATGGGCTTGTATGTGTGAGGATAAGACATACTCGAAGTAACTATTTTAGTTACCCCTGTTTTTTTCCTTGCAGGGGAAGGAGTGTATCTTGAACTTAATTTTTTATAGTTCTGGAAGTGGAGTATATATGTTCTCTTATTCCTGAGAATAAATTTTAATAACAATGTTTTGATATCACTAATTTGGAAATAGTAAAACATAATACTGGATTTATGGATCTGGTACTTGCTAATTTGGAGTGGTGTTTAGTCTTTCTCCATACCAAAGGAGATTGGAAGCAGTCATGCTCTCTCTAGTGCCCTCCAGTAGCAAAGAGCAGCCCCACCTAGTAGGTGGTAAAGAAACCAAAATGAATCTCTTTCCTGAGGAATGGTTGCTAGGAAAGTATTAAAGGATCTTGACTTTTCTTTCCTAAAATAGGAAAATTGGGGGTGAGGGGGGGATGTGAGGATAGAAAGGGATGGCAGATAACCAAGACAGAAAATATAGTGAAATGACAAGAAATGTGATCTCAGAAGGAATAGGAGCACTTGTTACTACTAGTGAGGAACCATGGTCTAATTACTTCTTCTAATAGTTTAACCAGTATGTATTTCCTTTTCTGAACAGAAATTGTTTTTTCTTAATTGCATTTTTCTTGAGTATGAGGAAGAGAAGCTTTAAACAAACAAGTTTGGTTAAATGTAGTCTGAATGAATATGTATCCTAAGTCATTTCCTATTAATGAGAAGAGCAGATTTTTAATAAGAAATCTTTATAATTGACAGAGTATATGTAACACAATTCTTGAATTAGAATAATTCATTTAAGTTTGTTTGTTTTAAATACTAAACCAGTGGACTTGTGATTAGATGGTATAATATGAATTACTACATCCACAAAGAATATGCATAATTAAATTGTTATAAT